GGTGTGGTGGGGCTGGAGGGGAGTGTGGAGCGGACAAGGGAGTCACGGAGAGAGTGGTCCCTCCGGAAAGCAGATAAGGGTGGGGAGGGAAAGATGTCTTTGGTGGTGGGGTCGGATTGCAGATGGCGGAAGTGTCGGAGGATGATGCGTTGGATCTGGAGGTTGGTGGGGTGGTACGTGAGGACGAGGGGGATTCTTTTTTGGTTCTTGTTGCGTGGACGGAGTGTGAGGGATGAGTTGCGGGAAATGTGGGAGACACGGTTGAGGGCGTTCTCGACCACTGATGGGGGGAAGTTACGGTCCTTGAAAAACGAGGACAACTGAGATGTATGGGAGTGGAATGCCTCATCCTGGGAGGAGATGCGGCGGAGGCGAAGGAATTGGGAATAGGGGATGGCATTTTTGCAGGAAGGTGGGTGGGAGGAGGAGTATTCTGGGTAGCTGTGGGAGTTGTTGGGCTTGAAATTAATATTTATGTTGGAAGCTGTCCTGTTGGCTTACTTGACAAAGGCACTACTTGGCCATAGGACTAAGCCATACGGGGAAAAATATCTCATTTCTTTATTCATTATTAGTCCTATATATTTGCATCATACAAATTACCCCACTAAGGGAGACTCTAACCACATCCTTTGGTTACCATCATAGAATTTACTATCAACAACACCTTGAAGATTAACATTCACAAGAAACTTAACTGTACCAGTCACATAAATACTATGGCTACAATGGCAGGTCAGAGGCTTGAAATTCTGTGGCTAGTAGCACACCACCTGACTCCCCAAAGTCAGTCCACCTACATGGCGCAGATCAGAATGTGGCAGAATACGCTCACTTGTCTGGACGAGTCAGTTCCAATAACACTCAAGATGCTCAACACCATCCAGGACAAAGTTTGACCAGCATCACAACATTTTAAGCATTCATTTCCCTCCCCATTGGTGCACATTGGCAGACAGCAGTGTGTACTGAATACAAATTGCACTTCTCCAATTCACCAAGACTTCTTCAGCAGCATCTTCAAGATCCATGATATCTATCATCCAGAAGGGCTGGATAGTGGACCTTACTACTAATGAACTCAAGCCTGAAGCTTGTCCAGGTGTTTCTGCATGCAAGCACCTAATTCAGTGTCTAAAGTTTCTGCTTCAGGATGCTGTAGAACATGTAAAAGTTAATACAAGGAAGTATCCTTTTTTACCGAATGAGTTGGAGGCTTTAGAAATTTTTCTTAAAAATTGCAGCTGACTGTAGATAAAAACATAATGAACCAGTCTGTACCGGTTTGTCCCAACAATTTGACATTCTTGGTCGCAGTGTTAACTATAAACGAAAATACATTTCAAGCATAAAATATATCTCAGTGAAATTGAAAAAAAAAACAAAATAAATGGCTTGTACTGTACTTGTAACAATGTACACTGGAAATGTCCAGTTAGTCTATCAACTTTATGGGTTAAATGTCATTGTCAGAACATCTGTTTTGGGATTAGAGTAAAATGATTGGATTAGATCTTTCTGCTCCTATGATGCTGCTTGGCCTGCTGTGTTCATCCAGCCCTGCACCTTGTTGTCTCGGATTCTCCAGCATCTGCAGTTCCTACTATCTCGGATTAGATCTTTCATTAGTTCTGAGAGTCTATAACGTGAAATGTTAATATTGTTTTTTGCCTTAGTATATGCTGTGAGTTTCCAGCACTTCCTGCGTTGGTTAAAGTATTACACAGTTATTAATGTTTTGATCACTAACACGTGTTGTAATAATGTTATCAGTGATTAGTCACAACTTCTTGTCGGAGATTATACATTGTATAAAGCAATTATTTTATATTTGATTTAGTTGGAGCAAGAATAGATTGGTTGAAGTTGAAAAATATTATAAATTGCTTACTTATTTGTTGGGAATGAATAGAGTTGCACATCCAAGCAATAATATTTATTAAAAAATTTGATTTTAACTATATAATTTATACAGCATTATTCCAATTTATAATTATACAGCATCTTTATTGTAGCAGAATGTCCCATCTTAGGAAGATAAGAAAACAGGATGTTGATGAGACAAGGGGAAGAGAATAGAGAATTTGGTGAAAAACTATTGACAGCACTGTGTTTGAGAAGAGAAGGAAAATCCAGAGATCCACACCTCCCCTCACCAAGTTTACATCATGGAATGTTGGCCCCTATTTTAAGGGGTTTGGAGTATAAAAGTAGGGATGTCTTGTTGCACCTGTCCAGGGTGCTGGTGAGATCACACCTGGAGTACTGTGAGTAGTTTTAGTCTCCTTATTAGAAGAAAGATATTATTTCATTGGAGTCAGTTCAGTGAAGTTTCACTAGGATGACCTCTGAAATGGAGGGATTGTCTTATGAGCAAGGGCTAAAGAACTTGGGACGCTATGCACCAGAATATAAAAGGATGAGAGGTGATCCCTTGAAACATCTAGAATTCTTAAGGATCTTGAGAGGATAAATGCTGAGAGGACGATTCCCCTCATGGGAAAGTCTGGGACGAGAGGGCATTGTTTCAGAGTAAAGGGGTGCCAATTTAAGACAGAGATGAGGTTGAATTTTTTTGTCCCAGAGTGCTTTGAATCGTTGGAACTCTTTGCCAGAGAGCTGTCGGGGGCAGAGTCCTTGCATATATTAAAGGCTGAGATAGATAGATCCTTGTTGAAAGGAGAATCCAGGGTTACAAAGAAAGTGCAGCAAAGTATATGTAAGAAATGTCAGATGAGCCATGAGGGGCCAAACGACTTATGCCTTTTCCTATTTCTTGTGGTTTTATAAGGCATCAAAAGAAATTTATATGAATTTTTATAGCCTTTTCAATTGATAAAAAATCTTCAATTTTTTTGCCTGATTGCTACCTACCATTTTGGGTATTCTTCCCTTCAGAGATACTCTATTGATAGCATTGATTGTGCAGGTTGTCATATACCCTGGAAGCACTCCATTTGTTCAATGGACTGCAAAACCTTGGACCTGCCTGGAAACCTGCTCTAAGGTGGAAAATGTGCAACTAGTTTTCTGAGCTCTATGTTTGTTTTTGTACAATTTAGGGCAGCACTGTGGCTCAATGGTTAGCACTGCTGCCTCACAGCGCCAGGGAAATGGATTTGATTCCGCCCTCGGGCAACTGTATGTACGGAGTTAGCACATTCTCCCCGTGTCTGCATGGGGTTCCTGCAGGTTCTCTGGTTTCCTCCTACAGTCCAAAGATGTGCAGGTTAGGTGGGTTGGTCATGCTAAATTGCTCAAAATTTTCAGGGATGTGCAGGCTAGGTGGATTAACCATGGGAAATGCAGGGTTACAGGGATAGGGTAGAGGAGTGGGTCTGAGTGGGCTGCTATTCGGAGGGTCAGTGTAGACTCAATGGGCTGAATGGCCTGCTTCCAAATTGTAGGGAGTTCTATGATTCTAAAATGTCTACTACAACAAGTTCCATTGGGAAATGTAAAACTCCCACTTTTAAGTATCTGCACCTGGAACCTGTATGCAACAAGTATTTTAAATTCAGTTGTCACAATGTAAGTCACTTATGTGGAGAATAACTTTTACTGCATCCTTTTTGGGAACCTGTTATACCAATTACATTCAAAAGAAAGTTGAATTTTTCAAAACAAATAGAAAGTATTGCTACTTTTAATTCATGGAAATATGGTCCCTGATGCATCAGAATTGATGTGTAGCAGCATTTGTGACTGCTTTTTAATATGATGTTCAGTTGCACATGTTTGGATTGTCCTCCATTATTGCATTCAATAAGAGTATGATTTTGCTTGGGTACCAACTACATTTGAGATATGTGAAAGTGTGGATGTACCAGTGCAGGTGAAAACATGCTGTTGGATTAGAGTTACTGAGTCATGGAGGCCTACAGCACAGAAAAAGGCTCTTCAGCCTGTCGTGTCAGCGCCAGTCAAAACAAGCACCTAATCCCATTTTCCAGCATAAATTAAAGAAGTTGATTTCAAAAATTATTTTCTGAGGTAAGGTAGCATAGTGGATATTTTACTGAACGAATAATCCAGTGAGCTGGACTAATGATCTGGAAACATAAGTTCAAATCCCATCATGACAATTAGGGGGAAATTAAATTGCGTTAATTAAATAAATCTAGAATAAAGAGCTGGTATTAGTAATGATGACAAAGAAACTTTTGCAAAAGCCCATCTGATTTCTCTTGTTCTTCAGGGTAGGAGAACTGCTGACCTTCTCTGGTCTGACCAAGAGACAACTCCTTACTCACAAGATGGTTGACTTTTAACAAACCCCTGAAATGGCTTAGCACACCATTTAATTGTGTTCAAGAGGGAGGCTTGCTATCAGTTTCTCAAAGCAATTAGGAATTAGGAGGCTTTGCTAGCAAGCATTCTCATTCTTTAAATGGATAATAGAAATAAATGAAATGCCAATTGATGGCCTCTGGTGTTTGCATTATAAACATTTGAGTCTTTGCATTACATAGTGAAGACCACCTCACTGAAAAACAGAAAATTGGCTCCTAGAGCTTTCTTTTCCCAAACAGGAACTTCTTTATTTTACAGTGAAGAATATCTTATTACACCAATAACAGTGACACTAAAATTTTGGAGTAGGACATTTCCAAGATAGCTTTACTGAGAGTGGAGAGAAGATGAATAACATAGATGAAAGAAAACGTGCCAAGCTGTAATGGAGAATTCAGTGCCCCAGACTATTTCAGGCTGCTGCTGATGCTAACATTATTTTCTGAACCAACAGCAGGAACAGTTTAAATGGTCATTATTCTTTTTGAAATAGGTGGAACTTTGCTTGTGCAAAATGCTTATGTTTTGTGCTTGTAGTATATGTGCTTCAAAACATAACTAATTGTGTGTAAAGTATGAGTGTTGTCCTTTGGTTGTAGGTAACCGAGGGGCTTGCTTCTTGGACATTTTGGGAAGAGTTGTGTAAAAGTTGCTGTCAGGAAGTGATCTAACAGTAGCTACGTTATAACCTTGAAATCTCTTTGCAGATCTTGCGAGGAATCCAGAGTATCATGAAATGAACAATGCTGTAAATGACCCCCCATTGCTGCTACTCATCGGATACGCAGATGGAATGCAAATTTGGAGCATTCCTGTGAGTCATTGTTTTGCTTATTTTTCCTTTTATTAGTGAAGCCAAATAAATTTGTTGCCATGTTGGTTTCACTGTTACAGATGTTTATTTTAACTCAGAGATAGTAGGAACTGGCGATGCTGGAGAATCTGAGATAACAAGGTGTAGAGCTGGATGAACACAGCAGGCCAAGCAGCATCAGAGGAGCAGGAAAGCTGACGTTTCGGGTCTAGAAGGGTCTAGGCCCAAAACTTCAG